GGGCTGGAGGGGTGTGGAGGGGGACCACAGACTGTCCTGGCTGACACCCTTCCGCTGCCAGGCCTCCCAGCAGAGCCTAGGAGCGGCTGGGTAGGGTGGTGGTTCAGCCGCTCTTGCGGAGCACCCCTGGAGAGCTCGCAGGGGCTCTTAGTGAGAGGGCAGCCGGCCAGCTGCGGTCAGGCAAGTAATGGCTCTCCTTCCTGGCCGCTGCCCTCAGGGACAGGCTCAAGCTCATCTTACCAATGAGAAAACTGAAGCTGAGTGAAATCGCTTCCCGGTGGTCCGTGGCCAGTAGATGCTGAGAAGGCTCAGGCCCAGGGCCGTCCTGGCCAGGCAGGGCAGGTGGCGTCTGTCCACCCCAGGAGGGCCCCTTCCTTCACCTGCTCAGCTCTGGGCTAGCTGCCAGCTGTCCCAGAGGGTGGGTGAGGCAGGCGGAGGGCAGCGTGCAGCCCGGTGAGGGTCAGGTGGTGTCCACCTCCCTGTGGCCAGCGCCCGCCTACAAGTTTGCTGGTGGCAGGATGCGCTGACCCTGTCTCCCCCCGCATTTGGACTTCAGGCTTCTTGTCCGCTGCGTCTTCAACACCAGCGACTTCCTGCCCATCCAGGCGTCCATCCTCCCTGCCCTGCCGCCATCGTCCTCGTGGCCCACCACCGTCAGCCAGGCCGGCCCCCTGCCCGTGCAGCTGCGTGTTGCCAAGGGTACGCCCGGCTTCCCCTGCTCCCCGCCCCCTCCCGCCCTGGCGCAGCCCAGCACTCACCAGCCATCTGCCTGCAGACGCCTCCTTCAGCTCCTACTACCGGGAGGGCGACTACCCCATCGTGAGGCTGCTCCGCCAGCCCGTGCACGTGGAGGTCCGGCTCCTGCAGCGGGTGGACCCCAGCCTGGTCCTGGTGCTGCACCAGTGCTGGGCCACCCCCAGCGTGAACCCCTTCGAGCAGCCTCAGTGGACCATCCTGTCAGATGGGTGAGGGCCGAGGCGCCGGGGCCCCCACACCTGTGCCGGGGCCCCCACACCTGTGCCGGGGCCCCCACACCTGTGCCGGGGCCCCCACACCTGTGCCGGGGCCCCCACACCTGTGCCTGGCTCCTTCCCCAGGTGTCCTTTCAAGGATGACGCTTACAAGACCCAAATGGTGCCCGTGGACGAGGCCTCGGTGCCTGTCGCCTCCCACTACCAGCGCTTCACAGTGGCCACCTTCACCCTCCTGGACCCCCAAAGGGTCTTCAGGAAGCAGGTAGGAAGCAACCTGTGTACCTCAGGCCTGCTCCCCACCTGGCAAGAGCGCCCCAACCCCTCTGCACCCCAGCAAAGGAAGAAGGTGCCAGCAGGACCTGGTGTCATGAAGGGTGGGGTGCCCGGGTCCCGACCTTGGCTCAGCCCAGAGGTGACCCATAAGTAACGCAAGTGGAGGAAGGAAACCCCAAAATCTGAACATGGTCGTCTGGCTTCTGAATCTGGAAGCAGTGTGGTCAACTTAATCCTGCTCCGAATGTCTACTACCGAGCGCCTTCCGGAGGGGAACGCGGGCCAGCATAGGTGTGCCCCCCGGGTCTCCGGGCCACGGTGGCGCCGAGCAGCGCGTCCCGGCTCTCCCCGTATTCTCGTAGCTGCCTATCGGCACCCCTACCTAGACGGCTCCCTCCTTCGCACCGGGAGCGGGGTTCTTTCTCACCCAGCCGGGCGCCTCTTTCTGGCTGGAGACCCCAGCCTCCTGCTGGACGGCGTCTGCCTTGGCCCGGTCCCCTGGGTGCTGGCTCAAGTCAGCTCCTCCCACTTAGACTCCCCTGGGGAGCTTCATCGGGCCTTGTGCTTGAGTCACATGTTACCGGGCCCCAGCAAGAGGAGCAGGCCAGCCCCCCGCAGTCAACAGTGCGTGAAGGGGCGAGCCCCCCCAGTCAGAGGCATCCTGGGGGTGGCGGGGGGCAGGCTGGGGTGGGGCTCTGGAGGGCAGTGGTCTGCTCCCGCTGCTGCCCCCGGGCTTGGGCTGTCAGGGAGGAGCCGGGCCCGGCTCCGTGGTGAGGAAGCATCTCCTGGGGCCTCGAACCTCACTCCGGTCCAGTCGGGGTGCCCAGGCCTCTCCCCGCCCGCTGGCAGCAGCACGGCCCGGGCCCTGCTCCGCGTCCCTGTCTGGGTGCCGCGTGGCAGCCAGCGGCCGGCCCCTGACCCTGCCTCTCCCCCAGGTCTACTTCTTCTGCAGCGTCTCCGTGTGCGTCCCGTCTGGTGGCGAGACCTGCTTGCCTTCCTGTCGGAATCCACGTGAGTCGGACACATAGTACCTGTTCTGCTCAGGAGGGAGGGGCCAGATAGAACCAAAGAAAACTCTGAAACTGCCTTTCCTGCCACCATTTTTGGTTTTCTGGTTTTCGACTATATCTGTTACTTTTGGCAAGTAATGATGCCCGGCAGCCTTGTTTGAGTTTATGGGATGCATCCTGGTGTCCAAGGCATCCGGTGTGGAAATACAATCTGCCGTAATTCCTCAGTCTCGACTCTCAAGAGTCAGTCAACTCTCTGCTGCTTACCCATCTGTGTTTCCCATCTACTCATGAGGGAGAGGCGGTCTTGGCCTTCTTTGAAACATCACAGAATAACAATTTCACAACATTTTCTGGCAGCAAAAGAAAAAATCAGAAGGCATCATCTTTTTGTTCCCTAAAGTTAGGGTTTTCCCTTTCAAAATAAAAACACAAAGAAGCACCCCTTCCCAATACTGGTTTGTCCTAGAGGTAAAACTCCAGTAATTGCCCTCAACAGGTCGGTTTCTTTTCAAATGTGCTATCTTTTTACTGATAAAGGATAAATTCTCAGCACTTGCTTGTCCTTTGTATGTGGAATCAACATCAATTCATGACACAGACAAATTATAAGAGCCTGTTGCTGGTTTCGGGGCCTTGGGGAGGTGCAGGCCAGCCCATGACACTGCCCCCCCCCCCGTACCCCACAGGGCTGAGACGATCCTCCAGTTCTCTCAGCACCCCCAGCCCCCAGAACATCGTGAGCTCCCCAGGGCCAGTGAGCTTTGAGGACCCCTACAGACAGGAACCTGCCCTGGGACACACAGGTAGGTGCTCACGGGGGCCTCAGGCCCTGCTCCCAGGTGCTGGCGGGAAGGACGCTCGCTCCAGGGGTCGGGAGGTGGCAGCTGCGTGGGGAGGGCACTGAGCCGGCGACGTGGCCACAGTCCTCCCACCTTCTCTCGGCAGGGTCCCCCAGCAGGAGCCCCAGCCCGCAGCCGCTTCTCTGGGTGCTGCTCCTGCTGCTGGCCGTCACCCTGGCCCTCGGCACTGGGGTCTTCGTGGGCCTGAAGCAGGTCCGGGCCCAGAAACTTCGGGACAACAGGGGGTGAATGGGCTCAATAAACAGTCCTCTCAAACCGCAGAGAGCAGTGTGCCGTCTGCTTGAATTCGTCTGGCCTAGACACCTGCGGTCTCGGTGTCCCATACACGGGTAGCGTCTGAGGGCCCCAGTGAGGGAAAGGCGGCCGCTGGCTGGCGCACGGCCTGGGGTCCCTCCGCAGACCCCAAAGCTCCCTGCTTGGCTGCTGGGGAGCCCAGAGTTCACAGGACCAGAAGTTTAACCAAGGCCACTTTAAGGAGCTCCTCAGTCCAGCCCAGAGCCCCCCACCCCCACCCCCAGGGATTTGGGTGCTTCCCATCTCCAGCCACCACCCCCCCCAGGACTGGTCTGCGCAGGATGTTGAGCCAACTGCAAAGCTGTGTGCTGAGCACACGGTGGGCCTGGCCACCAGGCAGGCCTGGGTCAGTGCTGCTGAGCCTCTTGTACCCTGGGAGCTCATGGGGGACCCCCAGACCTTTGGGCAGGAGTGGACTTCCGCCTCTGGCGGTCAGGCAGCATAAGCTGGTGTGGAGGTCGGGCCTGGGCCTCAGACACCTTTCTGGGCCTTCGGTAGGACTTGAGCGAGAGCTGCACAGAGGGGCTTGGGCCTTGAGCTGCGCTGAAGCTCCAGCCCTGACCCGCTCTGGGGTCAGGCTGAGTTGCCGCCTGGGTGTACTCAATTCTGGTTGAGTGACACTCAGTTGGCCCACCTGGGCCTCGGCTTCCTCTCTGAAGGACTGGTGCCTATCTCCACAGGGGTGTCGGGTGGAAGGACACCCCAGAACAGTAGTTAGCCAATGCTCTATGGACTAGCTGCCTTGAACTTTGTCTTCCATGTACACAGACAAGTGTGCAGCCCAAGATGAGGGCTGGGGGGGGGGGGGGGGGGGGAGCCGCCTTCCGAGGCCCCGGCTGGAGGCCACAGAACAGAGCCTGCAGGCAGGAAGGGCCAGGACTGTGCTAGAGAAGTCAAGTCACTTCTCTGAGGCATCTTCCCTCCTGTGGCAGGACTCGCCCAGGTCTGCCTGGCTGGTACAGGGGCCTACAGGCTGGACCCTGGGGGGTTGTGCGGCGTGAGAGCCATAAGGAAACCACAGCGCCACCTTGGGCCCGGGGACCAGCAGCTGCCTCTCCTTGGAGGCCGCCCCGTTGTTTCCTGAGTGTTCATCTGGCTGTGAGCCCCACACAGCCCTGCTGACTGAAGGCGGAGGTGCGGGACGAGTCCCTGGACACCTGGTGTCGGTCTCGCACAAGAACCATCCCACAAGGCTTGGTTCTTAGTGAGCTTCTGGGTCTGGGGGAACAAAGTCGTTACGCAGCCACCATGCAGAATTCTCGTCTTGGCTGTTGCCGGAGAAGCCAGGCTGGCTTGCTCTTCCGCGGGGTTCTGCCTGCACCCAGCCCTTTCTCCTTATCCTCCAACAATCTCAGACACTGTTTCCAAGAGCGCAGGAGCTGGTTCTGTGCGTGGGATCTGGGCGCTGTTCAAACAGCATCCAGAGGCCACTGTAATGATGCAGTTAGCCACGCTTCCACCATCTCTAGCGTAAAGGCAAGTGCCTTGTATCACTTCCTGTCATTTTCCCGCATTTTGGGGTTGGCGATGGCCTATGTGATCTCCTCTTAAAGGAAACCAGTGTTGCATGATTATGTAAACACTGATGTTTTGTGTGTTTTCTCATTCTTCGAATGGCTGGGCCAAAAGCCCCACCCCTACTGACATCCTGGGAGGGGGACCCTTTGCACCCCCATATCCGTATCATTCTCGGTCTTCATCTATCTGAGTACCATAAGCCAAATCGCACTGCTGACTTCAATGGGCCTTTTTGATTAAAACCAAGCATCTTGTCTCTGACAAGCTGCATCGCTCTTTTATCTGCTCCCCAGTTTCTTCCCTTGTCTGGAAACAGCTTTCACAAGCCCAGGGGTCAACTTCCTCATCTTCTAAATTCCCCATCAAGTCGGCCATTGTTTTTTTTTTTCCGGCTAGGGTTCCTTCATCTTGCTGTCCGAGGTTGACGCGACAGTGCGTATCCTACCCCTCCTCCTTCTCCCTGGACAGAGCAGACCCCTTCGGCCCTCCGTCTGCCACAAACACCCGTTTCCGTTTCAGTGCTGTGACCAGGTCAGGCTCTCCTGTCGTGTGCAGACAGGCACGGGATTTGAGGGGTAACCTTGATGACCACTATTTAAATTAGACATTTGCTTTGCTGATGCCTCCATGTCAAGCGTTCTGTTTACAGAAACAATTTGTGGACAGGAAGGCCCTCTGCCCGGGGTGCCCGGGGCTCCCCCGGAGGGGAGCAGCCTAAGCGTTGGCTTTCCTAAGGACTCAGTCGAGTCCCGTTCTTGCCCAGTGAAAGGCCTTCCTTCCCCTAAACCTGCTGGCAGGGGCAGGCCTTCAAGCCGAGAACAGTTGACTCAGACCGACGCGTGGGGGTGATAACAAACCACTTTGCTGACCTGTGGCAGGAAGCAGAGCCCTGTGGGATGGGGGCTGTCAGGGTTTCTCTTCCTGCTCTCGGGGTGGGGTTCAGAGGCTCCGGCTGCAGCTCCGCAAGGCCCACGGGGCCCCGTCCACTCCTGCCGTGAGGTCAGCGTCCCACCCTGGGTCTGCACAACCTGCCACTGCAGCCAGGTGACACGGGCCTCCCAGAGTGTGGCTCCGGCCAGGTGTTCCTGAACCTGTTTCGCCCGCTCCACCTTCTTGGTCAACAACCAAAACGCCAGTTTGCACAGACAGAGACTGCAATAGTGAGTGCAGAAACGGCGATACTCAGACAGAGCTTGAGGTCATCAGAGTGAGAATATGGATCTGGGAAGCAGCCCAAAGGCCGGGGCCCGAGTGCCTGCCTCGCACGAGCTCGAGTGAGGTCACGCTCCTGAGGAAGAGAGTCACCTTCTGATGGCAAACATCACCCTGACCAATACTCTGCTTGTGACCGCGTTTCTGGGTTTCTTTCTCTGGCTCTGAGGTCAAAAAGGCCCCGGGGATCCTGGCCCAGACCATTGAGTCCCTATGTACAGGCGGCGAAGCCGGGGCAGGTCAGCCTGTTCCCGACTCTGTCAGGACTTTCTGGTTGGGGCAGCGTTGCGTTGACCTTCCTGGAACTGCCGCACCTGTGGATGGAGACGCTCTGGGTTGCGTCTCCTCCCAGGCAGGTGGGTTTTCTGCTGGGCCTTCTTCATAGCACAGGGCCAGCCGGCTCTGACGGTCTCTGCGGAGGCTTTGAATATCCTCCCAGCCTGGACAGGGGCCCCCAAAGCAACCTCAGCTCTCATCCATATGTAAATGCTTAAATCATTACTGAGCTGACGTGGGAGGAAGAAGGTATGCCAAGAAAACAAAATCAAAGCAAGAACTCCAGGAAGTAAAACCAGCAGCTATTCTGGGATTTTCTACAGAACCCTGGAGACGTGACTTTCTGCGAGTCCTTGAGGCTGCAGACGGATGGAGCCCAGGGCCCAGGCAGACCCAGAGGGCTTCACGGGGATCAGAGTGAAGGAGAGAGAACCCTACTATGCAGGAGGCGGGGAGCACCTGCCTGTCTTGAAAGTGGTGCTGGAAGGATGAAAAAACCTCCCCTGAGAATTAAAAGCTCAAGTCCCCCCTTCTCTGGCATGCATTCTCCTAACTCTAGATCAGGGCAGGGCCTGGGGAGGTTCAATCTGGAAAAAAAACAAGCCTGAATTTCCTTCACAGTGATCCCTGAGGAATAATTCACTTAAAGTGACCCCTGGCTTCAAGTGAAGTAAATACAAAGTCCTGCAAGAATGTGATTTCAGCCAACAGACACCTTGGAGCGTTCTCGAAGTTGTGAATAAAGGGACCACTTCACAAACAAAAATTACAAGATCCCAACCAAATGCCAACAATGGACAAGATTCATCCAAGATACCAATAGTAATGTAAAACAATGTTACTTTGGTTTTAAAAATTAATTTAACCCCCCCCCCCCACACACACACACACAAAATCACAAGACCATAAAGAAGGGTAAGACAAAGCTTGGACTAGAAAGACAGATGCAATCGAGGATCTCGCTCCACACCTAAACATATATGTGTGTTCTGTACATGTACATATGTTACACGTGTATTAACCATCTACTAATGAATAAGGACAAACAAAATAGGAAAATAAGCAAAGGATGCAAATAAGCATTTTGCAAAACATACTCACAGGGCCCCCGTGCGTGCAGGTGAAAAGATGGATGTGCAAATTCATCATCATGATACTATTCTTGATTGACCCACAGACTAGCAAAAATTAAAGTCAGAGGATACTCAGGGTCAGTGAGGACATGGAGATGAATCATCTGTGATCACGAATGCATCATGTACCGTGTTCTAGGTTAGTTTCCTAGAAAAACCCTTGCTTCAGGCCTGCAGAAGCATTGTTTGCAAGTGCAAACACTGTCAAAATTAATTCCACTTCTGTTACTAACAACGGGAATTGTAGGGTGGTGCAATGAGTTAAAGCGCAGCACTATGAGGCTGTCCACAGCCACTGAGCGTGGGTTCGATCCCGGCCAGGGAGCTGACCCACATGGCGCAGGAGACCTCTCCTGACCCGGCCACTGCTCCCCTCAAGAATCTGCTTGTTCTGCTCCCCACTCTGGTGAATCCTCTCACCACTACCCCCACCTCTGACCTGTGCCCCAGTTCTTGTATGCATAAATAAATCTTAAACAACAAAAAAAGGGAACTGTAAGTGCACCATGGGTGTTCCTACCGTGACTCTACTTAAAATGAGGTCAGGGTTAACCTGCCCACGCTTTATCCCTGCAGCCTGACTTCCCAAGAAAAGAACAGATCCCTTACAGTCTTCATGGAGTCCAGCCATTGCCAAGATCCGCTTCAGAGCTGGGATCCCAGCCTGCAAGTTGGGCCAAAGGATGGGGCTGGCGTTTCTCCATCGGTGAAGGCAACGTGGTGGATGTCGTCAGCCAGCTGTTTGGACCCTGGATTGCTGGTGCGGCTCCCCCCAGCCCCTGCTGACTTAGATATCTGGCTC